CAGAAAATAGAAATAAACTTCTAATTTCAAAAATGTGTAAATAAAACGTAACTTAAAAAACATCTCACCGACTAAAACTTTATTATCAACTGTTTTCTCCAAAATGTAGTCGAATTGAGTGAAATCGTAAAACGATATTGGGTCCCTTCGTAAGGCGTTAGTAACGACGGTCCGATCCATAAACCATATGCCGTAGTCATGAGATGTTGCTCTCACTGAGTCAGCGACGTTACGGACCAAAAAAGTGGTCACAATTTTCCACTCATTTTCTTTGATTCGGTCTATGTAAAAAGGAGCAAGGCGACGATCAATGGTGGCCTCGATACGGAAACGGGATCCCTACAGAATATGATATATAACAGATTTATATAGAATTGAACCTAACGTATGATAAAAAAACACAAACACGGCACAGGGAAACTACCGAATTATCTGCCAAGATAAGGCCGAGTTCGAAGATGTTGGGCGCAACAAACTTCTTAAACACTCTCACGACAAATACACAAATTGTCCACCCAGTGATCTGAGGACACAATTCGGAGATGGTGTGATACCCGTCCATCACACGGTTAGCAAGAACAATCGAAAGACTTTGTGTTTGATTGATGTAACTGTCGAATGTGAAAGGGTTTTCGTTTGAAGGAACGTGGATAAAATTGAGGAGGAGATGTGGCTTAAATAAGGAAATTCCGTAACGGACGCGGTGGGTAGTGCGAAACTGTTCCAACGGTTGAGATACAAATGTGTGTAACCGTTTGTAACCGTTTATTGCATGAAGATTATACGTACACAGACACAACAAACACGTACACTAACAAAAACGTACACTCAGAAAACGTACATAGTTATACGCTGGCAAACATTAAACGTACGTACACCGTCACAACACTTTGGTACACACTGTCCACACATAAACGTACACTGTCTTCGCGGAGACATAAAGCTTTTGAGGAGAATTAAATAGGATTTTTGCAAGTCTTCTTGTTATGACCTGCTTGTCTACATCGTGTGCACTGATTCGGAATAAGTCTTTTCTGTCTCTTTTTCTGAAATGACAACAACAATAAGTTAATAATCTTATACTCAAAACATAATGTTTGAAAATCTGTACACGTTTGAATGATAGCACTTACCCGGTTTTCACCTCTAGATGGAATCCTTTTGGTTGTTGGTCTTCCTGGTGGTCGTCTACAGTATGGAGGAATTAGTATCAAATCCGATATATGTTGTGGGATGACAACATCCTTCGGATCCGCGATAGGTATAATCGGTTCTTGAAAAGAATCAGAAAACGTTTGAAGTCCATACCACCATCCTACAACAACCTTCGGATCTATTCCAAACTCGATTGCAGCTGCTAGACCGTGTTCACATGGGATTCTCAACTTTGTGTACCTAAGACACGTACACGTACACTCGTCCAGAACGACATGAAAATGCTCACCTGACTTGCTTGTAACTTGATAACTCCACGGTCCAGACATCTTAACCGCGAATTTCCCTGATGCAGGCAAATCTTGGAGAAAACGCTCATCAACCTCAGGCGTCACTAAAGACTTACACCTAGCCACTTTTTGCCTCCTCGCTGCGAACCATCGCATTAGGACCTCTCGAATGAACTCTATCATGTACACAATCGGATATGATTTGGCTCTTGTTAAGACATTATTCATAGACTCCGAATTGTTGCTAGACATGATATTGTAGCGTTCCCCTTTACAGTGAGCTCTTGTCCAATGCTCAAATCCAATTTCCTCTAAGTAATTTGCGCATGCAGCACTCTTAGCCCTTAACTGTTCGAAGTATTTTTCAAAATCTCTCACTCTGTAAGCTTTAGCAGCGCTGAAGAATAATCTAGATACACCATACTTACCATAATGGGTGGAGATATTTCGCTCAAGGTGTACTGCACATGCACCATGATGAGCTTTCGGATAAACCACACTGAGGCCTTTATATATTGAAGAATGTCTGTCCGATACAATCATTAAATCTTCACTGTCTGGAACAATGTCAGCTAATTTATCAAAGAACCACACCCATGAAGCGTCAGTCTCACCATCCACAACACCAAACGCTATTGGAAATATTTGGAAGTTCCCGTCTTGGGCACATGCAATGAGGAGACATCCCTTGTAACGTCCTACTAGCTGCGTTCCATCTACGACAATTACCTTCCTCATATACTTCAGACCTTTTATAGAAGCCCCGAGAGATACAAAAACATACTTAAAGCGCTGCGTACCATCAGCTTCAGGTGTAGAGTGTAGGTGAGTTATCGTACCCGGATTAGCTAATTTAAGAAGATACAAATAGGTAGGCAAAAACCTGTAACTTTTTATATCATCCCCCCTTACATTTTCCACTGCAACCTCTTTAGCTCTCCAAGCGGTAGAATATGAAATCCGAACATTGAGATCATTTAGGAGCAACTGTGGTAAATCGACAGCTCTCGGACCCCCTTGCGTAGAACTGTATCTGCTCTTCACTACCTCTCCGAGAAGCTTATAACTAGCATGTTTATTATAATTCTTACGAGTGTCGATGTCACAGGTATGGGTGGTATCATACGATGTGATTTTGAAACATTCTGAATTCTTGACAACTTGAGCTGTCAAATGCCATGGACAAGTATCATCAACGCAGACCATCTCCAATCTTGTAGGACATGACCTACGTTGCTTGTAGCAAAAGCATTGTTTGATTGCGAGATAAGACATTATTTGTTGTATGACTTTTTTGTTCTTAAAAACACTCCCGACATACAAAGTCTCACCTGTCGTACTCAGTTCGACTTGTGTCTCATCATCTCGTAAATTGGCTAAATCATCGAATACCGGAGCAGCATCATTATCGAGAATCTCCAACTCGCCACCATGTAATGTAGAAAAGTCATTATACACTTCATAAGCCTCAGCTGCGGTAACTAACCGATTATCATTCAGTGTCCCATTTGCGGGAGCTCCAATACCACGGTCGATAGTGACTTCGTATATACCATTAATATTGGTATCCGTGTTACATTCGCAGCCTGTATCTTGTACACACTCTGTAGTGTACGTACATTGGTACAAACCATGTTGACACGTACGTCTTGGAGTCACCGTTGGTGTACTGTCACCCGAATGAGAAATGTTATCTCCGCCAGGTGCAGTAACTAGCCGATTATCATTCAGTGTCCCACTTGGGGAATCTCCAATACCACGGTCGATAACATCATCCCCAGAGACATCGTCTATACCATTAATATTGGGATCGGTGTTACCTTCGCATCATGTATCTTGTACACATTCTGTTGTGTACGTACATTGGTATAAACCATGTTGACACGTACGTCTTGGAGTCACCGTTGGTGTACGGTCAACCGAGTTATCTCCCCCACGTACACGATGACTTGTGTACGTACACTCTGCCAATAGACGACTGAATTCCCCTGGATGTTGAACCGTTTGTTGAGTGAGAATGACGTCCTCCTCAACATTCCCTATTCCATATTCTTCAATAATTAAATCGTTCCACTTGTTGTAATCGTAATCTTCGCCACTGCCTTCACTACCGTCTATAGTAGGATCGAGGGTACTTCCCCCCATAGATCCATCATCACCCTGATAATCATCATACCCAGCACCATCTTCGTTTTCCTCCTCCTCTTCTTCATCCTCATCTGTTTTATCGTCTTCAACGTCGTCTTGCTCATCTACGGCCTCATTATTTACATCTACATTTGAAGCCGCTACGATGGGATTTGGTGTCGTTGCACTCCCACACACACGGTAACTCTCACCATCGGTCCTAGGGACAGTATTCCCGAGTGCCTTGACGGTTGTAATGAAAGAGACAAACAAGGTGACACTAGGATCCCCACCACGAATCAAAAAGAATGTATCCAGGTTCATTTGATTGTCAATGTATACAGGAAGGCGTTTACTTTCTATCATCACTGACATCTTTCTCGGCATCCAGTAACTAATTATTGGATTGCATTCGGTGCACTTCAAACTGAAAACCTCGCATAATGTACGTACAAATGTCGTGTACGTCATGTTTTGCCTAACACGTACACAACGACCAAACCAGCCTTCCCATGGTTCAAATTTCCATTCTTCTTCTTTGCATTTCCACTCACCCACCATAGTAAATACGGGAATATCCATTACCAACCTGTATCATAAATTCAGCAGAACCCCATTAAATGCAAATGAAAGCATGATTATATCTACAAAGAACAAAAAGAATTCCCAACTACACACTTATAAACATAAATCTATCCTCATTTAGCAATTTCAACTAAAAAAAGTGGAAATAAAAATATTCTGGGGTTTTATATAAAAACAATGTTGATCTTAGCACACAATCAAGACCCTAGTGTGTTAAAACAAAAAACTTCTTAACCAATTTCATTACTTACACGTTCAATGCTTGTCTTTGCTCCAAACTTTGTAAATCAAGAAGATCAAACCGATGCAGAATCACATTCGTTCAGAAAAATTTGTTTGTTTGATGGATCATGTTTGTCTCTTACAACTATTCACACATATAAACTAATATTAGAAAAAGTAATGATGACTTTTGCATTAATTGTGACATGAGTCATGTCTAAACTTTTTGGGCATTAAATACTAATGTCTCATTGTGTTTTAATGTTATTAATCCCAACTTGTCACTGTACTCCCGCACAAATCAATTAAGAGCGAAATATATTGCGTAACCGGAACAGTGTACGTAACTGAACCTCTTAACTGAACCGTACAGTGAACCGCTTAACTGAACCGTACGCTTAACTAAACCGTACAGTGAACAGTACATCGGTAAGGGTAAAATGGTCAGATTTTGGCCAAAATGTCAAAACATGAAAGCTCATTCTCACTTTGCCAAAACTTGAAAATAAAACTTGGTCAACTGCCATAACATGCAATTTACCCTTATAAAAAAGCATTTACTTTTTTTTTGGTCGTTATGTATCATTGGAAGACGGATATATTTTTGGTTCGTTTTTCTTGTTTTAAAAAAGCATTTACTTTCTTTTTTTTCTCCCGCCTATGCATACAAACTAGTTAAGCAACCCTAAAGAAGATACAATATGTATCAACACAGATAGCGAAAAAGAAAAAAGAAAAAAAGAGGAAGATCATCACATAAGGCGACAGGCGTGGACATTGTCGTCGTTGAAAAAGTTGCTCACTTTATCATCGCCACGGTTGGTGACGTGAATGTGACCGTGGCGGTCACTAAGGTTGTAGCCGTGGCGGTAGTAGTTGTAGCTCTCCCTGAACTTGCGGGTGGTATCTTTGAAGTAATGGTCGGAGGAAGTGAAAGCGAGGCATGTCCGGGTAGGGCCAGAACTCGGCTCGCTTACCGGCTCTTCTCACTGCCTTGAGCACCTTCTTCCTCTCCACGTACCCAACCACCGTAACTCTCTCCATCTCCAGGTTCACCTCCACCGAGTCCACCCCTTTAATTACCACCAACACAGCACTCGTTTAGTTACTATTTTGACATTCACAAATAGTACTCAGTCCATCTTTTTCTATAGGATGTTTTAGAGTTTTTCATTATTTTACCATTTTTTATGAAAAAATAACTTTTTTCTTTTACCATTTATATTATACAGTATCACTTTTTTTTTTGATGTGTGTATTTAACCAAAACATTTTATACAAAAAAAAAAATGAAATACTAATTAATTTGTTATTTGTCAAAAACACACTTAACTATGACGTTACCTCTCAGCTTGTAAATGGCATGCTTGACTACTCTCTCGCATCCACTGCAGCACATCCTTACTGTCAGGTCTATCGTCTGTTAGCACCATTCATATATTACAAAATAATTGGTATTAATATGTGATACGTTTTCAAAATAAAGAGGTAATTTGAAGAACAATTAATTATTTAAAGGACTGCTGAATCAGCCAAGTATATTATAACCATAGAAACATCCACTAGTGACAAAGCTATGACATTCCATTACAGTTTTGTCCGATTCCCCTTAACATATCAATAAAACACCAAAAGTCTTTTTTTAACACGGGTAAAAAAAACTTGAAAACAGTTCTGTGATATTCTTTCTGCGAGAATCTGATCTGCCAGTTTTGTTTCGTATCTAGCCTTTTTCCTCACAAAATTGACAAACTTAAATTAAAGGTTAATAATTAAAGAGAGGCTTCTACGTTTAGTCTTAATTAGGTATAGTTAAAACAACTTAATTAACTCTAGCTGGTCCTCCTTTACCATCACCACAAACTTAACAAATTTATTCCACTCTTCTCTTCCCAAAAAGCATGTGCACTCTTCGTTCCATTAGGCATGTATGATGTATCCGAATAAGAACGGTTTGACAGATATTGTTATTCAAAGTTATTTTAAGTTATGAAAAACTGATATCATGATCTTAGGGTCGAACTGAGACTAAACTGTAAACATGAAATATTAAAAGAGAAAAAGAAAGAGAATACCTGTAAAGAAAGTGGACGAGCCCTTGGCATGGTGTGGTAATAGTTGAGGTGACTTTTGTGCTTAGGCTTCTTGTGTGGATAGCGAAGGAACAAACAGTATGTGATGGTAGAGATGAAGGAGCCCAAACCCATTTCTCTACTCGAACTCTCTCTCTATATTTATACTTACGTATACTCAGATTGCTAGATAGATAGATGATTAGGACTCAGCAAACTTAGAGAGGAAGCAATAAATATGTAAACAAGAAGAATGCATGGAGAGGGGTTTTAAACAAAGAATAAGATTAGACAGAACGGAAGATATGCCTTTGGAATCGCTTCCCTTTGTAATAAGTTGTGATCTCTTATTTACCCCCTAGAAAAAAAGTTGTCATAAATCTTTGAGGTAATATTTATGTTTATATTCCAAATTAATTTACATGTAGAGATGTATGACTCAACACATGCTAATTATTCTCTTAGCTCATTCAGTGGGTACATATAATGGTTTATATATCCAAGGCAAGTTGGTGAAGATATTATGATGAGTTTGTTAACTATTATGGATATCATATAGTAATAATTTTCATAATTAAAGCATCTTGTAATTATAATTTATTAAAAAGCGTTAGTCTTGAGTCTTGACATAATGCGATGGTATCAGTGTTTTTTTTTCTTCTCACTGATGGTATCAAATGTTAAAGAATGCAATTCTAAAGAAACGTAGCACTATAGTTTATGCTTGATGTATATAAACAATTCAAAAGAAATAAAACTTCCTGGTTTTATGGCTTAATTGGTCATCTCAAATAAAGTGGCCGCAACCGTATTATCCAGTGCACATTGTATTTCCCAGAGGTAATATTCCTCTGTGAGACCAAGAAGAAAAGGTGTTATTTGGAAAATATGGTAGGTCATCTAGGTTACTATGATCTGCATACAGTGGAACCAAGAGGGAAGAGTGGAGGCTTGGCTCTATTGTGGAAAGATTCAGTGCAAGTTAAAGTGCTCCAGTCGGACGAGAATGATTGATACACAAAATAAGTGGCAAGATAAGGAGTTTTACCTCACGTGCATCTATGGTGAACCAGTTCAAGCTGAGAGAGGGGATCTATGGGAGAGACTCACCAGAATGGGTCAAAACAGAACATTTCCATGGATGCTAACAGGGGACTTCAATGAGCTAGTGGATCCCACTGAGAAGATTGGAGGGCCAGTGAGGAAAGACTCATCATGTGTGGAATTCAGGCAAATGTTGATATCATGTGGGCTCTGGGAGGTAAAGCATTCAGGCTACCAATTCTCATGGTATGGAAATCGCAATGATGAGCTAGTTCAATGTAGGCTGGACAGAAAAGTAGCAAATCAAGCTTGGATGGAAATGTTTCCACAGGCTAAGGCTACATATCTACAGAAAATATGCTCTGATCATAGTCCTCTTGTGAATAGTCTTGTTGGAGAACAGTGGAAGAAATGGGCTGGCTTTAAGTATGATAAGAGATGGATAAAGAGGGAAGGTTTTAAGGATATGATCAGCCAATTCTGGAGTCAGCAGTCTGCAACGGGAGATAATCGAATGATGGAAAAAATTGCAAGCTGCAGGAAGGAGATCTCAAGATGGAAACGAGCGACCAGACCCAACTCAGCCATCAGACTCCAAGAGCTGCAGTTTAAAATTGATGCTGCCACCAAGAAAGTCCCCTTTAATAAGAAGGAGTTAGCTTGCCTGAAAAGGGAGCTGAATCAAGAATATATCAATGAGGAACAGTTCTGGAAAAATAAGAGCAGAATCACATGGATGAATAATGGGGACCGGAATACAAAGTTTTTCCATGCTGCAACAAAAAAACAGGAGAGCCCAAAACAGAATTCAGAAGCTCATTGATGATGATGGTAGAGAGTGGACAACAGATGTTGATCTTGGACGAGTAGCAGAGGTTTATTTCAAGAGACTCTTTGCTTCAGAGTACGTCGGGTATGAAATTGAGGAGCTAGAGACTCTAGAACATTCTGTGACAGAGCAGATAAACAGCACCCTCTTAGCTCCCGTCACAAAGGAGGAAGTTAAGGTAGCAACCTTCAGCATTAATCCTCATAAATGCCCAGGACCTGACGGGATGAATGGATTCCTATACCAACAATTCTGGGATAACATGGGAGACCAATTAACGGGTATGGTTCAAACTTTCTTTAATACTGGAATTCTGGAAGAAGACATGAACAAGACAAACATCTGTCTCATTCCCAAGAAACTGAAAGCGGAGAAGATGGTTGATTTCAGACCTATAAGCCTCTGCAATATTGTTTACAAGGTTATTGGGAAGTTGCTGGCCTCAAGACTAAAGAAAATACTTCCAAGTCTAATCTCAGAGTCACATGCATCATTTGTACAGGGCAGGCTTATTAGTGATAATATCCTAATAGCACATGAATTGCTTCACGCTCTCAGCTCCAGCAATAAATGCTCCGAGGAATTCATAGCCATCAAGACTGACATCTCCAAAGCCTATGACGGGGTAGAGTGGCCTTTTTTGGAGAAAGCAATGCAGTCCCTGGGATTTGCAGATGAATGGATCCAGCTGATAATGGCGTGTGTTAAATCTGTCAAGTATCAAGTCCTTATAAATGGAGCTCCCTATGGAGAGATTATACCAACTCGGGGCTTAAGACAAGGAGACCCCCTCTCTCCATACCTATTTGTTATATGCACTGAAATGCTGGTAAAGATGCTTCAAAGGGCAGAGCAAAAAGGTCTCATCACTGGACTTAAAGTGGCTAGAGGTGCCCCTCCAATCTCCCATCTCCTCTTTGCTGATGATAACATGTTCTATTGCAAGGAGAAAGATGAGGAATTAAACCAGATAATTCGGATTATTGAAGAGTATAGTCTAGCCTCTGGGCAAAGAGTGAATTATCAAAAATCCAGCATCCACTTTGGGAAGCATATCCCAGAAGAGAGGAGGAGTGTGGTGAAAATGAAGCTAGGAATTGACCAGGAGGGAGGAGAAAGCATTTACCTGGGGCTACCAGAATCTTTCCAAGGATCCAAAGTCTCCACATTACGATATATCAAAGAAAGACTAGGAAAGAAGGTGAATGGATGGCAATCAAACTTCCTTTCTCCTGGGGGTAAGAAAGTTCTCCTTAAAGCAGTTGCTATGGCCCTTCCAACATACACAATGACTTGCTTCAAGCTTCCAAAAACAGTGTGTCAATAGATTGAGTCAACAATGGCTGATTTTTGGTGGAAAAACAAGCATGAAGGAAAGGTATGCATTGGAAAGCATGGAGCAAGCTCAGCCAACCTAAAGCTGTTGGTGGGCTTGGGTTCAAGGATATAGACGCCTTCAATGTTGCCCTCCTGGGCAAGCAGTTGTGGAGAATGATTACAAAGAAAGAGTCACTAATGGCAAAGATTTTTAAGAGCCGGTATTTCAACAAATCTGATCCCCTTAATGCTCCTTTGGGATCTAGACCCTCATACGCATGGAAGAGTATTCATGAAGCGCATGTCTTGATCAAGGAAGGAATAAGAGCAGTGGTTGGTAATGGGAGATCAATTAATATCTGGAAGGATCCATGGGTCAGCTCTAAACCAGTGCAGCCGATTCAAACACTAAATTGGCTACCTCCAGGCTCTCGCCATGTTGTATCATCCCTACAATCTGTGAGTGATCTGGTAAATGTAAACGGCAGGGAATGGAATCAGGAGCTCCTGAACATGGCTTTTACAGAGGAAATTAAGGGGGAAATATTGGAAATTAGACCAGGGGGCAGAGATACAAAGGATCAATACTCTTGGGATTACAGCAAATCAGGTCACTATTCAGTAAAATCAGGATATTGGGTCATGGCTGATATTATCAACAAAAGAAACAGTCCCCAAGAAGTCCTCCAACCAAGTTTAGATCCTTTATTCCAGCAGATTTGGAAAACAGATGCACCCCCTAAGATACACCACTTCTTATGGAGATGTCTCAGTAATAGTCTGTCAGTGGCAGGGAACTTAAGCTACGGACACCTTGCTAAAGATAAGAGCTGCATTAGATGTCCATCATGTATAGAGACGGTGAATCACCTTCTTTTTAAATGCTCTTTTGCAAGACTCACCTGGGCCATCTCCCCTGTTCCAGCCCCACCAGAAGTTGAGTGGTCTGACTCTTTATATAAAAATCTACATCATGTGCTTTTCTGTAGGAAAGATCAATCACAAGAGAAGGATACCTCAACATTATTACCTTGGATCCTATGGAGATTATGGAAAAACAGGAATGGTTTGGTGTTTCAAGGGAAGGAATTCTCTGCTCCTCAAGTGGTTAATAAGGCAAAGGAAGATGAGGAAGAATGGCAGGCTCGCAAGGACCCGTAGCCCCTAAAAGAGAATAAACATCAACAGGGCAATCAAATTGCTAAATGGAAATTTCCCCCACAGAATTGGATGAAGTGTAACGTGGATGGTACTTGGACCGCAGATGCTCCCAACTGCGGAGTGGGATGGGTCACCAGAGACCATAGAGGGAAGGTGCTATGGATGGGTCAGCGAGCACTCCCGAGAGTCCAAACTGTGCTGGAGACTGAGCTTGAAGCTCTTAGATGGGCGGTTCTCACAATGTCCAGATTCAACTATAGAAGAGTGATCTTCGAGTCGGATTCTCAGCACCTAGTATCCATTTTAAACGATGATCTGGAATGCTCAATTCTCGGCCCAAGGCTCCAGGACATTAGGAATCTCCTATAGCACTATGAGGAAGTTCAAATTGTGTTTACACGGCGAGAAGGGAATAAAGTGGCAGACAGAATTGCAAGGGAATCTCTTTCTCTTTTGAATTATGATCCCAAATTGTATTCTTTGATGCCAGATTGGGTAAAAAACCTTGTGGTCATAGATTCTGTGTAATTGTGATTGGGTGAATGAGAAGTTGTTGTTGAGTCAAAAAAAAGAAAAAAAAAAGGAGATTTTATTAAAGATCTGTTGGAAAATATATTAAGTTGATTTAGAATATATATAGTTTTATATCCAGTGGCAGCCGGCAGGAGACCACAAGACTTTTTATATTTATTCTCTTACTATGTAGTAAAGAGTATGTAACATCTAATAGAATCAGAGTAGAATACACACAGTTTAACCAATATCGAAGGTATTGATTTTTTTTTATGTCAAACTATATCAAAGCTATTAATATATACAGATTTTTATTATGAAGAATCTTCACTGGTTTGTTGATTTTTCTGATATGGTTCATTGGTTTATACTCTTTTTATCATCATGTCGCTTACATGCATTCATCATCTTGAAATTGTATCTTTATGTAAGGAAATGTTAGTTTGAAAACACGAATATATAAAATGTTTTTATATTCGAAGAATAAACAATCACAGCTCCCATTTAATCTAGACGGACAG